GAAAGAGTTTTTCCAAATATCCAAACTAGACCTCCCCCAATTGTGACCATTGCTCCTTGTTCTGCCATCCATCACCCCTGAGAACAGCCTCTCTCCATCCTCTCTGGAACCCCCCTTCAGGGAGTTGAAGGCTGCTACCAAATCCCCATCTGTTTATTTGACCCAGATGAGTGGCCATTTCCCCCAGCATGACGTGGTTCCATAACTGGGACACCCTTCCTGGGCAGAGCAGTTTCTTCTGCTTCTGGGCCGTCTCACAGCCACGGAGCTCTAAAGCTCTCCAGCGCCAAAGGTCCGAGGACCCCGGCCACAGCTGGTGTGCGGCTTACCACTCGGTTTACTGGGCAGCTGGTGATGATCTGTGAGGAGCCCGGAGTGCGCCCGGGTGGGGCAGCGACACAGATGAGACGGAAAGGCAGGCCAGCTGCGTAGGATGCCCTGGCTCTCAGTCTGTGCTGTGTCCACGGGCCTGGGCCCGACCTTTAGAATGGGGGCAGTAAGGGAGTAACACACCTCAGCTCCACAGAGGCCCTGCCAAGCTATTGCCACCTGTTTGAAGCCAGACCAGGGCTCCTGCATTAGCCCACTCGGGGTGAGAAGGGGCTAATGCTGCTGACATCCGTGAGGGGGACAGTTGTGGAGAGGCCGATGCTGTAGGTGCCTTAGAAGCCCAGCAGCCAAACCCCTGGTTCCCTGCAAAGCTCTTGGCGTGTTGTTTTTGATGGGTGCCTGGCCAGGAGGTGAGGGGGAGCCAGGCAGTTTAGCCTTTAGTCCCTGCTGGGGCCCTCCACGTGCCTCCTCTCTTGTGCTGGCAGGTGGTCATCCGGAGACGCCCCCTCTTCTACGCCGTCAACCTGCTGCTTCCCAGCATCTTCCTGATGGTCATGGACATCGTGGGGTTCTACCTGCCGCCTGACAGTGGCGAGAGGGTCTCCTTCAAGATCACCCTGCTGCTGGGCTACTCTGTCTTCCTGATCATCGTGTCAGACACGCTGCCGGCCACGGCCATCGGGACCCCGCTGATAGGTACGACAGCACCCGCTCCGCCACCCCGTCTGCTGTCGGGGTGCTGGCTAGCGCGGCGGTCGAGCCCCGTCACCATGGTTACCTGGGTGCTCACACATCCCCGATTGAAAGCCAGCATCCATCTCCCTCGCGGAGTCCAGAGCCACAAAGTTCAGGGTGGGAATAATCAGGGGCCGCTGAACCGTGTGGACAGAGGAGCTGGTAGGAGAGTGCACTGGACAAAAGTGGGGGGCTGTGGCTCAGTGTTCCCTATAAGATGTGTGCTTGGGTGGCCACCCAGGAGAGATTCGGCTGCTACCCAGCTGATTAGCACAGCGCCTGCAGTGCCAGAGCAGGCAGCTTGTGTTTCTACTGGTGGTGCACATCCATCAGTGCACGTAAGAAAATGCATTCCACATATGTCTGGAAAAAATTAGAGGGAACTTTGGGGTAGGTTGGATGTGGGGCCCAGTATCAGAGCGGTGGTCGGTGGGAGGGAGAGGACCAGAGCTGGGATAGCAGGAGACAGGGGCGATGGGTTAGGCTGGAGGTGTGCTGGCAGAGCTGTGTGGGGCTAGGGAGGTCAAGGCTGGACTAGCGGGGTCTGCTGAGGGTCAGAGTTACAGGGCATGCATGTGCACTTGCGGACTGCAAGTTGCCCCAGGTCCTGCAATTCAAAAGGGCCCAAGGCTCCCAGTCACCCATGCTGCTACTGCCACAGCTGGGATGGCCAGAGCCCCATTTAAATAGCTGCCGGAGGGCCAGGCAGTGCTCTCCAGGCAGCGCTAAGGACTGGCAGGGGGAAGGCGACACAGTGTGGGTGGTGCTATGGCTGGCTGTCCCCACCCCCGCACCTTCCAGGAGCATGGAGCTGCCCCCCCCATTTTGTCTAGGGGCCGGCAAGGCTGTCGGCCCCCCTGGAGGACTGGCGGGAGGAGGGTGGGTATCAGGTGCCGGAGGGCCAGGCAGTGCTCTCCAGGCAGCGCTAAGGACTGGCAGGGGGAAGGCGACACAGTGTGGGTGGTGCTATGGCTGGCTGTCCCCACCCCCGCACCTTCCAGGAGCATGGAGCTGCCCCCCCCATTTTGTCTAGGGGCCGGCAAGGCTGTCGGCCCCCCTGGAGGACTGGCGGGAGGAGGGTGGGTATCAGGACAGGGGTATCAGTGCTCTGAGGGACACAGCTAGAGCTGTGGGGTGGGCAAGTAGGCCATGAAAAGCCAGAGTGATGGTTGGGCCAGAGTTGAAGGGATTCGCTGAGCTGCCTGGTGTCCCAGTGCGCAAGAGGAAGATCTAACCTCACGGAAAGAGGTGACCAGAGAGCTCAGCCTGGCCCAGCCCTATTCCGTGCCCAGCGCTAGCCGAGAGACTGACCGTTGCTGAACGTGGACGGCCATGGCCTTCTCCCCGCAGGCGTCTATTTTGTCGTGTGCATGGCCTTGCTGGTCATCAGCCTGACGGAGACCATCCTGATCGTGCGCCTGGTCCACAAGCAGGACCTGCAGCCTCACGTGCCCGACTGGGTCAAGCGCCTGGTGTTGGAACGAGCCACCATCCTGCTCTGCATCCGGAACAGGAAGAAATTCTACCCCAGCAGGACCCAGAGTTCCGAGATCAGCCGGCGCCCGGAGGACGACGACAGCACAGGTACGAGCCGGGGCCCTGGGGAAGGGTGCCAGGGCCACAGGAATCTGGCATTTCGCAGCATGTTCCCATCGCCACCGTAGAGAGAACAAGCCACACAGCATTAGGGAGAACTCTCAGCTCCCTGGGTGGAGCTGAACCATTGTGCGGCAGCAAAACACCTGAGCCTGCATAATGGAGTCAGCGTGGAGCCCCAAACCTCTCAGGGCTTGAGCCCCAAACATGAGTGCACTCAGCGGGAGCCCGGGGAACAGCTCTGCCCAAGGAGTCCATGGGGCACATGAAGGAGCAGGAGAGGAGGATCCCCTTTGGGCCACACCACTCGGGAGACAGTGACTGACTTGGAGTGGCCGGGTTCCCCGCCAGTCTCAGGGCAAATGCCCCAGAGCATGACCCCTCTGGAGAACACAAGTTCCTTGGCCTAGCACATAGAAAAAAGGGACCGTCAGTGATCAGACTCACTGGATTTAACCCTTGGTGTCTGTTTGCTCGAAGGGGTGAGTTTGGGGCCAGACACTGGGCAGGGGGGCTGCGAACCCCTCCGCTGGGACAGTGTCATCAGCAGGGACATGCCAGGACCTCTGAGAGTCAGGATCCTCTCTCATTCCTGCAGACAAGCAGAACCACTACGGCTGCGAGAATCTCCGTGAGTTCGAGAGGGCGGCGGGCGCAAGGCCGGCGCCGGGCCCCCCCCGGT